TTTCCCCCCCCCCTGCCAGATACTCGTCCGGCTGAATGTCCCGCATGATCTCCAGCCCGTTGCCAGTGCCCCCCTTCATGGTCATGAGCCGCGGCTTCCCGTCCTGCCCAGCATTGAAGGTGTAGCACTTCCCATAGCGGGTGAAGACCTGCAGGAGAGGACGTGGGGCTGAGGCTGGGGCCCCTCTGCCAGCACCCAACTGCTGCTGGCACCACAGCACGGAGCTGGGAGGGCACCACCAGCCCTGGAACAGCTGGTCCCAGCCTGGGGCTACAGTCCAACCCAGGTTCCTGTCCCTGGGTTGTTTCTCACTGTTGGAACTGCCCGTCTTTGCCCCAGTAGAGGAGGAGACATTCCCCACCATGGCACAGGGATGGACTTGCAGGAGACGCTTTGCAGATTTACAGCACCTCGGCCCCACAGACCCCACAGCAGCCCCAGTTCCCTGAGACGGCGGCACTCAGCCCTGTGCCCGCGCCAGCACCTCCTCCCGTCCCTCCTCCATCCCTGCGGAGGACGGGGCTGGACAGGATCCTGAACCCCCTGTTCCAGCCAACGCCTCGGGCACATCTCGGTGCTGCTGCCAGCCCGGGCAAGGGCCATGTGAGGCCACACGGTTGCCCCATGGGTGGTGGTGACACCGGGATGGACGTGCCAGGCACCTCCTCTGCGAGCACAGCCCCGCGGCTGCTCTCCGTGTCCCACCAGCCGGTCTCCGCAGCCGGTGCTGTCCCCAACTCCAGCGAAACTCCCAGGGCTGGAATGTCAGCCTGTCCCTGAGCGAGTGGGCAAGGACAGCAGCTCCTCCCGTGCCCACCCTGGGGCTACTCACCGCTGCGAAGTCCCCGGGGCCGCAGCGCTGGCCCCGGTAGCTGCAGCTCAGCAGCATGTCCTCCAGCTGGTGGCAAGTGCGGTTAAAAAACCCGTACAAATTTAGGGGCTCCTCCTCCTCATCCCCGGGGTTGGGGGGGGCCGGGGTAAAACCCAACTCCATCCCAGGCTCGTAGTCGACCAGGGGGGCCAGGTAGAGCAGGTCCTGGTGGCTGAGCTGCGAGAGGCGGACGCGGTTGATGTTGCAGAAGGTGATGGCTGGGAAGGTCATCTCGGGGCTGTCCTCCTCGCTGAGCAGCGTGACGTGGTGGTACTCCAGGTAGTAGGCGACGCGGTCGGCCACCTGGTAGAGGAAGACGGAGAGGGAGAGGAGGAAGGCCAGCGCCCAGAGCACCTGCCGAGCCCCCAGGCTGCCTTCCACGAAGATGTGGCTCAGCCCGTGCAGGGTGCAGCTGCTGGCAAAGGCCACGAGGTCTGTGGCTGCCCCCGTGTCTTCTTCCTCCTCTTCATCCTCCTCCTGCCCGTACAGGAACTTGTCGGCTCCATCCTCTCCCTTCCCAGGAGCTGCAGCGTCTCTTGGTCCTTCCTCGCTGGAGAAGGAGATGGTGCAGAATATCTGGAGAGGCATCGCCTGGCGTGGGGGTCCCAGCTGCAGTGTGGAGGACCCAGCTCTGGTCTGGGGGTCCTGGCCACAGCCTGGGGGTCTTCGTTGGTGGGCCAGTTCCTCAGGGTGTGGGTGAGAGCAGGGAAGGAGGAAAGGGCCAGTTCAGAGAGGAGAAATGGAGAAGGGCAAAGGAGTGAGAGGTGAGGGAGAGGAGCAGAGGGATGCTCGGAGGGGACGGAGAGAGGAGGGTATATGAGGAGCAGGGAGGAGGGGAGGAGGAGCGAGGGGCGGTTCTGCGGGCTCCCCAGGTCCCCCGGGACCGGCTGTGCTGGCAGGACGGGGCGGAGACGTCGCTGGCTCCAGGAACACTGACCTGCTGGGAGGTCCCGGGGGTCCCGAGGGGCTGCCAGGTCTGGGGTGACACAGGTGTGCAGTGGAGCCTGCGTGGGCCCCTGGTGAGCTGCGTATCCAC